TTTTCCCTGGGCACTTCCCCAGCCTCCCCTTTTCTCTCCCTCCCCTTTTCCTTTCCCCACTCTAGAAAGGGCAATGCTCTTAAAGTTGAGCCCAGCGTCACCTGGAAATTTCTCCTTTTAGATTCCCTCGTTCCTCCTTTCTCCTTCTCCTCCTCACTTCTGTCTTCCTCTTCCCGTTTCCCCATCCTTCTCCTCCTCCTTTCCTTTTTCAAAGAAGAAGCAGGATGGGATAGGAAACTGAAAGGTGGATTAGGAATGGGGAATGTTTTCATGATGGCTCCATTGTGTCCTTGATGAAATATTTTCAATAAACATCACACTTCATGGCCAGGTGTGTCTGGATCCCATCCTCCTTCCTTATCCAATCCACACCCAGCATCACCTTATATTCTCTACTTTCCTTTTCCAGGACTCCCAAAGGAACACCTTCCCTCTTTGAAAAGGAAATGGAACATATCCTTTAAGTATTTTCTCTCTTTTAAAGTATTTTCATTTTCATTTTATTATAGTTAATGTTTTGTTCAAAATTTGTAGCAAAGAAATGATTAAGATGATAAACACATAGCACACACAGTTTAGAAGGATGAAATAAAATTATAGAAATGAGAATACTCCCTAAAAGCCATAGAAAATCTATTTTCATTAAAGAGGTTGGTTTAAGCCCCATTTAGATTTGTACAGAAGGCTTATTTAAATAGATGGGAAAGAAATCTGGGAAGAAGCTCTTTTAAGGAATAAACAAAATGTTAAGTTCCATTGCTAATATTCTTCTATGATATGTATCCTATGAAACATCACATCAAAATCCAGGAGATAACTAACCTCCACATCAGAAATTTTCATAAGATTTTAGAATAGTATAAAGCAAAGATAAGAGGCTCTATATCTTTCTCCTAAACTCCACCTACCTTGAATTTCTTGGAACTGTTTTGCAAATCCAAGCTGGCTATGAGCCAGCTGTCTGAAGGTTCCTTAGCTGACCAAAGCAAGCGATCAAAGCTTTCATCTTCAAATCTCATATAGAGGTTCAGCTGGCTGGGATCTGACAGAGATTCTGAAGATGTGGTTATCTGGTAGACCAAGCGGAGGCAGCTCCATTCCTCAGCCTGTAAGTCAGAACTTAGCAGCACAGCTTTCTCGCCCTGCTTGCCAAAGGAGGTATCCACGTAAATGTAATGACCTGGAAAGAGAAAGGAACACAGGAAAAGGATCAATTTTTGGTTTGCAACCTGGAAAAATATGCAACTGCAGTCAAGTCTCTGGGCAGATAAACCTGCAGATATATTTTGTCAACCCACTGGAAGCTGCCTGAACACTGGATCACTGGCCTCTTTTGAAAAAATTGAAAGCACTGAGGCCATGTTACCAGATGACGACAACAGGCTGGAGCTGAGTAGTGCTGCCTCTTCAGAGGGTGGCATGTGGTCTCTGCTTTGCCATAATTGCCATCACTCCCTCTTCACTCCTGACACTGTCTCTGCTTTTTATTCTTTTACACCAGGCCCATTTAGCACATTGCATTCATCTCCCTGGTCCCCATAGGCATGTTTCTGCAGGCTGAGGGACATCAGAATCAGAAGAGCAGCATGACTGAAGTCAGCATAACTAGGTGGACTCAACCTTCTCCTTACATAGCTCTCCCCATTACCTAATGCTTCAGTCTGCATTTAACTTGTACCATTATGTAAACTGAATTGATTTGGTTACCTAAGCCTGGATCTTGGGACCTAGGCATAAAAAGTACATTGTAAGCTATTTTATTTTTTAAATTAGGAATAAGACTTCCTTCCCTTGACTCTTCCATGACCAGATTTCATAGTTCTGAGAACTAAATGAGGAAACACTTGCAAAACATGTAGCACAGGGCTGGGAAAGCACTGGACACTCTGAGACTAGCAATCATCCTTCCTTCTCCTCTATCCTCACTTCTCCTTTTAGATTCCCTCTTTCCTCCTTTCTCCTTCTCCTCCTCACTTCTGTCTTCCTCTTCCCGTTTCCCCATCCTTCTCCTCCTCCTTTCCTTTTCCTCTGTTCATTCTCCTTCCCTTCTCCCTCTACCCTCCTAATATTGACAAGTGTTTTCTGCTGACTGTACAGGATGTGAAAAACATTTCTATTAAAAAAGGTGGGGCATTGAAGCCAAGAACCTTAACTCAAGCCTTCCAAACTCACCTCTGGCCATCTGGTTTCCTATATCAATGATCCGATTGCCTGTGGGTCTTTGGGGACCTCCTGGGCCTTTCTGGCCTTGCAGATTCTCATGCTTTCTCAGAGGGTCCCACATTCATGGCTGTCATTTAACCTGCTGTCTTTCATCCTGTGGCTTCCCCCTCCCTGTGTCTGCAGTTCAGTCTCCCTAACCCTAAACTCTTACTAGAAAGGATCTGAAAAGCCTCTTTGTTTTGCTTGATGTTCTTAGCCTGTCCTCCCACGCTTTTGTCTCAAATGCCCATCCCAGCCTGGATCCTTATCTCTGTGGCGAGTACTGACAGGCCAACTGGAGCTCAGATGATGGCCATCCTCACATGAGGGACACAGTTAGGGCACTGTCTTCAGGGATCCTTGCTTGCCGACTGAAGGGTTTCAAGATCAAGATCTAACTCTTGCTGGCAATCTTCTTAACATAGCAACCGCCCACTGGGTGCAGATAGCAATTGCTTCCAGATGCCAACCCAGGCACCCTTGTGGAGAAATCTGGCCCTTGCAGCGATTGCTGCCACCACCATACCTCCCACATATAGGCAACTCTCACTGCAACCCAGGCCCAACTACTGTTCTAAGTGCTTCACGCACATTTCCGAGGTGAAAGGCTTGTTGGGTTTGACTATTCTAAGCCAGGGCTCTTGAGGCCAACCCTTTTTGGATAAAAGTGCCGCTTCTTGTGGCGTGAGGAATGTATTAGTGCCATCCTCTTTCCCCACTCTTTGCTACTGTCCCAAAAGAAGGGACTTCAAGCAGGCTGGATTAGGGGAGATCACATGAGTACCTCAAACCTTTTCCGAAGAAATAGAGAGTTGGGACATGGAGTATGAAAGAGGAAAGAAACAAATAAAGACCTTGCTATGTCCTATCAACATTCACATCAAATACCAACTTTGCTGCCATGGGAGGCTCAATTTTCCCTGGGCACTTCCCCAGCCTCCCCTTTTCTCTCCCTCCCCTTTTCCTTTCCCCACTCTAGAAAGGGCAATGCTCTTAAAGTTGAGCCCAGAGTCACCTGGAAATCTTGTTCAAATACAGATCCCCAGGCCCGCCCCTCGAGTTTCCAAACCAGTAGGGCTGGGGTGTTGCTGCATTTCTAACAGATTGCATTTCTTAGACGTTCCAGGAGATGCTGATGCTACTGGTCTTTGAGAACTGCTGACTTACAATGTATGACAGGTAAATAGGGTTCATTCTCCAGCCACCTCTCACCTACCAAAGAAAGTGCAGGCTCCTGTAGCACGTAAAGGAGGGAGGCAACAGTTCTACTGGAAGGTACAACGCAAATTTAAGTGAATGTGTGTTACAGCAGGTGCACAGAGTCCATCTGCCGGTGATTTTCCCGGCTTTTCAGTGAGTGCCATAAAAAATTCTCTTGATATTCTCTCTCACCTGATCAGATTTTGCTATAAGCATATGCTAATGTTCTCTTGTCAAGAACCTTTGAGAGCACACACTATATAAAATGTACTATTTAAAATACCTAGATTTTATTCTGTGTGATGAAAGTTGGTGCTATTCATTGAGTGATTTTGACATCTTAGCCATAAATGTGAGTTATTTTTAAATATTGGAATTTTGCATTTAAATTAAAGATCTCATATTTGTTTTTAGGTCACGCCATGTGAACGTGCCTATTAGCTGCATTACAGTCCAAGCAAAGATGTATCTATCCAGCTGATTGGATGCAATGCACTCAGCAGAATGATGCATTTTCCTAGACCTAATCATTAGCCCAAGCGCCGCCCACCTCCACTATCACTGCCAACTTCAAGACTAATTTTCTAAATTAATCACTACATTTTCCAGGCCTGCTCTGGATACAGCCTTGGAACCCTTCTAAATATAGTGCTCCATGTAGCCACTGCCAATCAATCTGAGCTGGCACTTCAGTTGAAACTACTTGTTATCTCTGCTTGTGGCTTCAGTGTAGGGGTATATTTTGTGGTCATGTTATAGCTAAATTGAACTAGAAGGAACATGGCATATTTTGAAGAAGTTTTAGAAAATATAGGATGAGGAAGATATTAATGTTCAAGGATGTTGCCTTTCCCTGCCTTGTCACTAAGAAAATTGCTATTCTAGAATAAATGTTGAGTTCTTTTTACTTAAAAAGAATCATTTTACCACCGAGTGAATTAATGAAGTTTTCTTTGGGTGTAAAATGTTTTATTTATTCCATCTTAATCAGATTGATATTTGGAAGTTAACTTTAGACATAATTCACCTTCCATAGAATTCGCCCTTTTAATACAATTCAGAGGTTTTTAGCATATTCACAAAGTTGTGCACCATCACCACTATCTAATTCCAGAACATTTTCACCATAACCCCCAAAAGAAAGCCTGTATCCATTAGCAGTCATCCCTCATTCTCCCACCCCCAACCTCTGGAAACCACTGATCTACTTTCTGTTTGCCTGAACTTGCCTATTCTGGAAACTTTATATGAATAGAATTATATAATGTGTGTCCCTTTGTGACTAGCTTCTTTCACCTAGCATAATATTTTCAAGGTTCATCCATATTGTAGCATATATTAGAATTTCATTCTTTTTGGGGGATAATATTCTATTTTATGGATATACCACATTTGATTTATTCATTCATTAGTTGATGGACATTTGAATTGTCTCTACTTTTTGACTATTATGAATAATCCTGCCATGAGCATTTTTATGCAAGTGTTTTTGTATACAAAAATTTCAATTCTCCTAGGTGTATACCTAGGAGTGGAATTGTTAGGCCACATGGAAATTCTATGTTTAACTTTTTGACGAACTGCCAAACTGCTTTCTCAAGTGGTTGCATAATTTACATCTCCACCAGCAGTGTATGAGAGTTCCAACTTTTCCACATCCTCGCCAACACTTGTTATTGCCCATCTTTTTTTAAATTATAGTGACGCTAGTAGATGTGATCTCTGGTTATGCTTTTGATTTGCATTTCTTGAGTGACTAATTATGTAGAGCATCTTTCATGTGCTTACTGGCTATTAATGTACATCTACTTTGGAAAAATGTCTGTTGAAATCCTTTGTCCATTTTAAAAATTGGGTTTTTTTTTTATTGTTGAGTTATAAGAGGTTTTATAAATTCTGGATAATAGATCTTATCAGATAGATAATTTGCAAATATTTTTTCCCATTCTGTGCTTTGTCTTTTCACTTTTTTTTTTTTTTTTTTTTTTTTTTTAATGGAGACGGAGTCTTGCTCTGCCGCCCAGGCTGGAATGCAGTGGCATGATCTTGGCTCACTGCAACTTCCACCTCCTGGGCTCAAGCAATTCTCCTACCTCAGCCTCCCAAGTAGCTGGGACTGCAGGTGTATGCTGTCATGCCTGGCTAATTTTTTTGTATTTTAGTGCAGACGGGGTTTCACTGTGTTGTCCAGGCTGGTCTCGAACTCCTGAACTCAAGCAATCCACCCGCCCCAGCCTCCCAAAGTGCTAGGATTACAGGAGTGAGCCACCGCTCCTGGCCGTCTTTTCACCTTTTTATGGTATCCTTTGAAATACAAAATTTTTAAATTTTGATGAAGTTTAATTTTCTATTTTTAGTTTTTTTTCCTGCCTTTGGCATCATAGCTAAGAAGCCATTCTCAAATTTAAGGTCATGAAGATTTACAGCTTGTTTTTTTCTCAGAGTTTTATTGTTTCAGCTTTTACATTTAGATCTTTGATCTAATTTTTGCCCATTGAATTTTCTTGCCACCATTGTTAAAATAAACTGAGGATAGATGTGGGGTTTATTTCTGGACTTCTCAGTTCGATTCTATTAATCTGTGTTTATTCTTATGCCAGTACCATAGAGTCCTCCTTACTGTAGCTGTGTAGTAAGTTTTGAAATTGGGAAGTATGAGACCTCCAACCTCATACTCATTCTCAAGATCATTTTGACTATTCTGGGTCCCTTGTATTTCCATATATATTTAAAGATCAAAATGGGAATAATGTAGAACACCATAAAGTTCACTGTTTT